AGAAGCCGATACAGTTGGCGCCAGCTGCCGCCGCCAGCCAGTCCAAGCTCGGCAGCGCATCACCGCAGCCAGCCCAAAAGGTTTTGTCTCAGCAGATCTCACCTATGAACTGCGCGCTCCGGGTCTTCGTGGGTCCGAGTTTTTCCCGCATACGGCTGACACAGGCTCTATCACAGCCAGATCTCCGCGAGCTACTCCTACCCGATGGCTGGGATACAGGCATGCCAGCCATCCTTAACACGCATGGCTGCAATTGCAGGATCCTAGCCACTCCGCCCTACCAGCACACGCCATTTTGGCTGCCATCCAGCCAGTGCAGCCATCCTCCGGAAAAACTCGGACCCACGAAGACAAGGAGCGCGCGCCAATGGCCGCCTCCGTGACACTCCCACCTCCTGGGCCGGCGTGGGAGTTTTACTGCCGAGTTTCTCCCGGCCGGCCGCCTCCTGACACGCCCACTGACCGAGCCCATCGAAAAAAATTCGGCGCGCCGCACTGCTCTGACCCCTGCTCGCCCCTGCTCGCCACTGTCGCCTCGGTTGCCGAGGCTGCCGCGCACCCGCGCGCTACGCGACTACGAACTGCACCAGCTGGGCTCGAACCAACGACCAAAACGTCCCCGACCCGAACGCTGCACCAACTAGGCCACACCGCAGGCTCGATATGCAATACGCACAAAACTGGCCGCTCATAAAGCACTACTCATTCGCCCCTCCACAGCCAGCCTACCCTCCTATCGCGCCACTCGAAGCCCCGCGGCCGCCTCTCGCCTACCGCGCTGCCCTCGCCTGCCACCGCACCGCCCGCGCTCCAGCCTAACCAGCTCTGCATCTCGCAACACACACTTGACAGGGACAGACCAGGCGCAGGAAAAGGGAGCGGGGCCCGAATCCAAGGGACCACCCCGTCGGGCGGAGGAGCTGTGAACTCAGGTCCAGCAGGAAGGCTGCTGGCTCCTGACTCATCCCCCAAATCCCCCACACCTTGGCGGCCTGAAACCTTACCATTCCGACACCTCACACACACCCCTCCCCTAGGGCTAAGCAGTGCGCGAGCCCACCCGACTTCAGGCGAGACGTTGACCACTCCTTTGGAACAGTTCTGTCAGTGGCTGCACTAGACGCCCACAGAGGCGCGCGGCGCGGGCAGATGACTAGGGGAGAAAAAGCGGAGAACCTAGCTCGCTGGGAGATGTGCGCAACCTAAAGACGGGAATAGGGGAGAAGTGTCAGTGTGAGGGGAGGGCGTAGGCTGGCGTTTTTGCCTTTGAAAAAAAAATTTTTTTGTAGCCATCCTCCGGCCGATGGCTGCGATGGCTGTGTCCCGGCCATCCGCCCGGCCGCATGATGGCTGCTTGGCTGGCATACAGCCATCGCAGCCATCCATCGGCCGGAGGATGGCTGTCGCGAATACGACCCGGCCTTCTCGCCGCCCCCGACACGAGCCCAGGTGGCTCCACTCTCGCTCCGCGAGCCACCACACCCTTGTTCTGGATGGCTGGCGTCGTGATCTCTCAGCCATCGCGTTGGAACGCTTGGTCAGGATATAGTAAGCTCAGCCATCCTCCGGCCGATGGATGGCTGCGACGGCTGTATGCCAGCCAAGCAATCGAATTCATGGAGGGGGCGCGGTCATCTCAGTCATCGGCCGGAGGATGGCTGCGCTGACGGGAACGCAGCCAAAATGGCGCGTGTGCTGGGAGGGCGGAGTGGCCAGGATGCTTTAATTGCAACCATGTGAATTAAGGGTGGCTGGCATGCCTAGTTCTCAGCCATCCGGTAGGAGTGCATGGCTGAGATCTAGGCGTGCCAGCCATCTTTAGCACGGATGGCTGCGAAACAGGGAGCGCAGCCATCCAAGGTGCAGATTTCGAGGTTAGCCGTCACTGCACACTGGCACGACAAGGGCGCGGACTGGCGCGGACTGGCACACACACCGGCTCACCACCGGAGCCGCCTAAGCGACTCCGTTAAGAGGGAAAGAATTTTCGAAGCCGGAAAGAATTCTCGTTAACGCCGCTTTCACAGCACACTGGCACGACAAGGGTGCAGACTGGCGCGGACTGCGACTGGCACACACACCGGCTCACCGAGGAAACGAATTCTGCATGAGTGTGTGTGACTCACTCACTCACGCTCACTGCCACGTACCCCGATGCCAATCATCTGGCCCGCTGGGTGTGCTTCTTAGCCCCCCGGCCCTGGATGTGCGGTTGCTGACTGCATGCACTCCAAGTGCTCCAAGTGCTCCGTAGTACGTCACGCACATACATGGCTCGGCAGCACCCCCCACAGTGCAGTGGTGTGAGCACACAAGTACTAGCACGAGTGCACACCTGCCTTCCTTTTGTGGGAGGGAGAGAGTTGTTCCTTAGCTTTTGGCGGGTGAATGACGTAAGAATCAAGACACAAGAGAGAATTAGGTGCCGGGTAGGCTTGGCTGCAAAGGGGATTTTCGCGTTTTGTTTTTTTATTCAGGGTTTTGCAACTCATTCCGTTTGCAACAAACGGAATCAAGAAAAGAAACGACCGCAAAAGCAGGCGGCGTCTCGTGCTCGACCAGGATCGCCGTCCCGGCGCGAGAATGCAGCCGGGCTTGCCGTCGTGCAGCCCTTTTTGCTTCGGCTCGTCGTCAGCGACGCGCCAGTCCTGGCGCAGCCGCCCCGCCGTGCGGTCCACGGCCTTGC